ATTATTGTATTAATACCTCTAAGGTTTTCACATTTTTTCCTTCTTATCATCTAACATTTCGTGCCAATTTGTATAATTAAATGATGCAAAGCTAGGCATTCTCACCATGCTACCAATGAATCGAGTTAACAAGCAACATTCATCACTGATAGGAATAGCATCATCATTAACCTTAACAACATGCTCCCCTTTTTCCAAATCCCAAATATCATCCATACGTCTAAGACCTCGAGCTATTTTATGTTGAATATTTCCTACATAAAAAAATTACATGTAAAGAAAATAATTAAATTCATTAAAAAATGTAATTGTACAACATTATAACACATAAAGAATTGTACTAATAGAATATAGTGTTTTCATACCTAAATTATGTTCAACTTGTTAATCTTGATTTTCATTATTTATAGATTGAGAAATTAGTTCTTGAAATTTTTATAAAGGCTCATGTTATAAAGCTTTTGGATCTAGAGGCACATGTTTTTCAGATTGTGCTTGCAATTGAGAACTAAAGGCATGATTTTCCCTAATGATATTCAATTGTCTACGTTTTGTCATCTCAAGTCTAATAATACACAAAATATACTAAGTACAATATAAAAGAAAACTTGATACTGGCAAACCATATAAAGCACTAAGTACAATTTAATAGATTACATGATCACACAAAATTAAGTAATTCAAGCTAGTAACACAAAAATAAAATAATAGTGAACTATGTTTTACATTGCAAAACCTTAACAAAAAGTTAAACTATTACATAGAATTAAAAAATATCCTCCCCATTATGTTTATCTATGGAATCTTCTATTACATGCTTATTTTTCATTTCTGGTGTGACCTTCATTCCTTTATCATCAACTTCACTTCTAACCCAATTTGAAGTACTATATGTGTCATCAAATTCAACATGGATTTTTTCATTCTTTTGCTCTCTATATAAGGATGATTCATCACTCATATCAAATACATCTCTATGTTTTGCATGCTTGACAAGAACCCAATCATTATGTCTTTCATCCTTAACATAAAAAACTTTCTTAGCTTGTTATGCCAAGATAAAAGGATTATAAACCAAATTAGTTCCACTATGAGCTAGATGTGAAAATTTTATAAAAGTGAAACTAAACTTATCTTTCTTAGAATCTCTATTTATATAAATCCAATAACATTTAAATAATACAACCTTTAATCTACCGGTAAAATTCACTTGAATGATGTTTTTTAAAATCCCATGATAGTTAACTTCCTCTTCAATAGGTTGTGCATCTCTTGTACTTACATAACTCATCATCTTGGTTGCTACAACAACCCCACTATTTTTGAGTTTTCAAGTATCTCTTATGTACCTTGTTATGAAAACTAAAACCATTAATGATATAACTAGTGTATTTTCTAACAGTATCAGTTAAACCATGAGCAAGCCATCTAAGTTGATTTGTGATGTTTGCATCTCCTTGTTGATCCAAATTGACAACCTATCCAATTTCATATTTGGTTAAAATAATAATCCAACTATAAAAGCTTTAATTACATATCTCAAACCATGATATTCGACTTACACGATTAAGAAACCAATCATGAAAGTTTCACTTCGCAACTTTTATATCTCATATAGCGTAAGCTGATAAGGCCGATTACACCTCTTAATAAATTGTTGATTTTTTTACATGAAAAAAAATTCTTAAAAAACTATACAATATACTACAAAACAAAATTATCAAGTATAATATGCATGTAGATAAATGTTCTTACTTTATAAAAGGAACAACATTATCAGAATTAAATAGTACATTCGATGTGCTTGAACCAAAGTTATAGCATCAAGTACAATTTATGAGACCTTTTTATGCTTGTTAACATTAAAACCTTTACGTTTTAATGTTCCCAATGGTCTTCCTACAGTAGAAAGAATGGATATTTCTTCCTCTACAAAGGAATTCTTGTCTTTATTTCGGATGGGTCGATTAAAAATAATTTCTATCCCATCAAAGTATCTTGAACAAAACGTTATGCATTCATTTGCTAAGTAGCCTTCTATAATTGAACCTTCAAGATAAACTCTATTGCATACATATGATTTAAGAGTAAGAAGAAACGTATATAAATGGAAGTTCAATAGAAAAAATCATTAGCAAATATCCTAGTTGAAATTTACGTATAAAAATCTATAACACTTTAAGATATACTTCTTAATAAGATACATCCACTGAAAAATGACTGGATCGATAATTTTTGCTTCATTTGCCAAATGGATAACTAAATGTACCATTATTGCGAAAAAAGATGAAGAAAAAATCTTATCCATTTCACATAAAATTGATGTAGTATGGACTCAAATAATTCAAACTTATGTTCTTCGAGAACTTTAAAACAAGGTTTTTTTAAAAAAGGTACATAAATCAATAAGAACCAAGCACACCTTATCAGGAAAAAACCATTGTGTTGCTATAAGAAGAAAATTTTGCATTAAAAGATGATAATCATAACTTTTGAGCCCTATTAGCATCTATTGTTTAAGTTACACACAACGTGAGATATTTGAAGAGTATTCATCAAGAGTTTTAATTTCCTTGAGAATCTTTAAGAAAGAATTTTTTTTTAATTAAGCTTATTTGATATGAATTTTGGGGCAAGTATTAGGTGTTAGTGTCAAGACGAGTCTTTGGATGAAGAACACTCTTTATACCCATTTCTATAAGGTCAAGTCATGCTGTGTAGTTATCCTTTGACTTTCTTTCTTGCCTAATCAATGTACCAAAAAATGTTATCACAAACATTCTTTTCTATATGCATCACATCAAAATTGTGACACAATAGAAGATGTTTCCAATAAGGTAATGTAAATAAAATGCTCCTTTTGTTCCATATCCCATCTTCATTACCATTACATTGTTCCAGCTATCTTAACACTTCACTATCGGATGGTGGTGAAATAGCACTTTTAAATTCTCAAGTCCCATCAAATGAGATTTTATCTTTTCAAAACCTATGATTAGGTTGTAACCACCTATGATGGCACATGTAACAATAGTTTCTACCATGTTGTAACTACTTAGATGTAGTATCAAATCCACAGCAAGGACATGCATACTCTCCCTTAGTACTTCACCTAGATAAATTGGCATATGCAGGGAAGTCGTTAATGGTCCAAATTAATGCTGTACGTAGTTGAAAGTTTTTATTTTTTGAGACATTAAAAGTCTAAGCACAAACTTTCTAAAGTTCCTGCAACTCTTCTACCAAAGGTTGCAAGTATATATCTATGTTGTTTCTAGTACCTTTAGGACCAGGAATAAGTAGAGAAAGAAGAAAGTTTGGTTGTTTCATGCACATCTATAGAGGCAAGCTATGCACATCGTTAATGATTGTTGAACTCCAAATATTATGTAAATGTAGATCTAAAAACTAATTTCATAATAATATAATGAATTTAAAAACAAATATAGAAATCAAATGAAAAAATGTAAGGAAAAACGAAAGTTCACGTGAGAGTAACAATCACTGGATACAAAACCATAGTTGTGTTAATGATTACATGAAGAAATCAACAACCTACAACATAGAAATTAGTAGTCATCTTTTGCATTGCTTTATTTTTCTTAAATGTAAAGGATCATTTGACAGTTGACATTAACAAATTTGAATCTTGTTCTTTAAATAAAAACACATATATGAATAATTGAGAAAATTACTAGGGTTAGGTTTATAACTATTCTTACATGATGTCATACCATGCACATTTAGGTGCCTCAATTTGTGACCTAAACAAGGCACCCCAAGTATCAATCATGATAGCTTCACATAAAGCTATAAAATTAACTGTTGCATTCTTGATGCTGTCTGCTCATAGGAAGAAAGATGCAACCTTGATAGCCATGCTCAGCTGCATGGTTCCATATCTAGATCTAAACAAATAAGAAGTCATAATCAAAGAGGATCACAACATGAAAAGCTAATCATTGTTTCTTACTTAACTTTGGGATTTATCTATGTTTTCAATGAAACTCTAATCTTTTGGAAGCATGAAGAAGCTCAATGATTGTTTCCCCCTTACCATTGGTACTTTTTTTTATGTTTCCTGTACCTATATGTTTTTTGGCGTACTGTTTCAAGTTTATTGACATTATTTAATATTTTATTTATAAAATATATGTATATATATACACACACATATAAAAATATACTTTAATTATGTACATCTATATGCGTATATGCAAATATAGAATTTAAAATTTATAAATATTTAATATAAAAATTTTTAAACTTAAATAAATTAAATAAATATAAAATTATGTTCAATAACCTAATTTACCGAACATATATTATTTTTGGATAAAATTATAAAAATAAAAATAATTATGAAAGAAAAAATATTAAAATTTGATTAAAAAAATCTTGTATCGTTTAATACAAATCGAATTAGTTTGCACAAATCAATAAAAAAAAAGGTGCATAAACTTTGATGTATTAAGTTTTTTGAAAATTGATACCAATAACATTGGTAAATACTCTTTTTTTTTTTTTCATGTTAATTACTTTTAGAACAGCAATTGCAGAGCAAAATTATTTTAGGGTCAGACTGTCTGACGCCAAAGATTTCTGTCACATTCCAAACAAGGATCTTGAATATAATTGTCCATTGTTGATTAGTTTTTTTTTTTTTTTGGCTGAGTGTATATATATATGTTAATAAAGAACAAAAAAAAAAAAAAAAACAAACAGCTATGCATATTTACAAGTAATATTATTTTCAATCCAATTTAAACGTAAAAGAATATTGATGGCATTCAACTTTTCCTCTTTTAAAATTACTTGTAATTCAACGGACTTTACTCTTGACAAAACAAAAGTTACAAATTAATGAAAGAAACTTGAATTTAAAAAAATAACTAGATCTAGATATGTAGATTCAATTTCAAAGTTGATTGTCAAATATAAAATATATGTTTCATGAATCAGAATTGTCATCTATTTCATGAAAATTAAATTTTATGATGCTAAAGTGATGCAAAGTTTGCTAAAACTTATGGAAGCAGAGAAGCTATTAGGTAATCCTTTAGTTTATGATAAATATGATAACATAGAATTATTAAGAGGGTTAGCCGACAGTCATGTGTGGTTTGTTTGTACATACTGAGTTCTTAATTTTTATTTAAAATTCAATCTCTAAAACCTTAAATACAGAAAAGAAAAAAATTATTAAGGAGGTTTGGAAGGCCTAACTGCCAAAGGGAACTGACAATAATAGCGATAAAAATGCAAGGCAATGGAGGTGGGGGATGTCTGATTTTCAATGGGTTTCTTTCTATAAGCAAGGTGATCAAATGTGGATAGGCAGTGTGTATGCGTAGTAAGAGAAGTGCATTGGGAACCATTTGTGCTTATTCACAGAATATTTTCTGTTCCAAAGAAACATCAATTTTAAAAAAACTCAGCTTCCCCATAGGGTGTGATGAAAGCTGCTTTGATGCTGAAGCTTCTTTGAGATGAAATAATTGTGGTGTTGGAATGCTGAGTCAGAATTTTGAGCATTAGACTTGTCTCTTATCAATTAGTTTTCATATATATAGTCCAAATTAGTTGAAATAAACAACAAATAATTCTTTAAAATAGTAGCTATTCTTTCTATTTCGGATATGTTAAACAGATAAGCCATTTTTCAAACAGGTATACTAAATTAATGATACCCCATTTTTAAGAGTTTTATCTTATATCTGACCAACTCTAAAACATTTTTCTTTCAAGTTTTCCTACTGTTAAACATAGTCATAAAGAAAAGTACCAAAAAAAAAAAAACCATAAATTTGAGCATATCATCATAATACTTTCATTAGGTACCAAAAATGAAAAAATGATTGTAAAACTGCATAAAGGTGCAAGTCAAAAACTTATCGTTTGTTTACAATTCAATCAATATCCACAGTAATAAGACTGGTATCAATATTTTCCCTCCACTTTTTCTAGCTACTACTCCCTATTGTTGGGAATATTGACTCAAATCCCATAAGAGATTTGTTTGGGATTTGTTAGAGATTTATTTGAGATTTGTCAGATATTGCTTGATGGACAAGAAGACTTGCAAAAAAAAATTCCAAGAGAAAGAAGATTCTTAATAGGTAAGTTTGACTTGCAGGAGAAGAATTCTAAGATGAGAGGGATTCTTAATGGGCAAGTTTGTGTGGTTATAAATAGGTGAAGTCTCTATAGGATTAGACATGAGAAAAAGATGTAAGAGAGTTGTAGGGTTTTATGGGATAGACACCTCATAAGAGTATCGGGGTTCTACGTCTTATGAGTGTGTATGTTTGTTTGTGAGTGGACTAGAGGAGACTGAGAGGGTCCACATAGGTATGATGTATGGGAGCATATGGGTATGTGTTTAGTTATGTTGAAAGAGTGCACAAGAGTTTGGGTTTATGTTTGTTTGGGTTGAGAATACTCCATAGGACTAGAAGAGATTGAAAGTATCTTATGAGTATTGATTGTTGAGTGAGGTTGATGATTTGATGTATGTTTGTAATTCTCTACAACTAGTGGATCTTATTTCTCATCCGTGGATGTAGGTCAGTTGGACCGAACCACGTTAAATTGTTGTCTCTTGTGTGTTTGATTTATTGTTTGATTTTGCTTCCGCTGGTGTGATTGGATTGGAGGCTTTTAGCCCAACAAATGGTATCAAAGCTGTGGTGATCCCTAACAAGTGGTATCAGAGCTGAAGGTTCGAAATGTGAGAAGAGTTAAAGATTCAAGATGTGGAAAGAGCCGATGGTTCGAGACATGAGAATAGTTGACAGTTCGAGATATGGGAAGAGCTTGGTTTAAGACATAGAAATAAATAAGCTTAGAGGAGCTCAATTCAAGAGAAGAGTTCGAGTTTTGAAGATTGAGGATTGGTTTGTATGAAGCATGAAGACACAAGAGAAGAGAGAGATGATGGTGAAACTTTCATTACAAGTGGAGCCAAGCATGTCTAGCATGAAGACAGATGATTGATGGAATTTGAGTCAAGGTGGAGATTGTTGGGAATATTGACTCAAATCCCATAAGAGATTTGTTTGGGATTTGTTAGAGATTTATTTGAGATTTATCAGATATTGCTTGATGGACAAGAAGACTTGCAAAAGAAGAATTCCAAGAGAAAGAAGATTCTTAATAGGTAAGTTTGACTTGCAGGAGAAGAATTCTAAGATGAGAGGGATTCTTAATGGGCAAGTTTGTGTGGTTATAAATAGGTGAAGTCTCTATAGGATTAGACATGAGAAAAAGATGTAAGAGAGTTGTAGGGTTTTATGGGATAGACACCTCATAAGAGTATCGGGGTTCTACGTCTTATGAGTGTGTATGTTTGTTTGTGAGTGGACTAGAGGAGACTGAGAGGGTCCACATAGGTATGATGTATGGGAGCATATGGGTATGTGTTTGGTTATGTTGAAAGAGTGCACAAGAGTTTGGGTTTGTGTTTGTTTGGGTTGAGAATACTCTATAGGACTAGAGGAGATTGAGAGTGTCTTATGAGTATTGATTGTTGAGTGAGGTTGATGATTTGATGTATGTTTGTAATTCTCTACAACTAGTGGATCTTGTTTCTCATCCGTGGATGTAGGTCAGTTGGACCGAACCACGTTAAATTGTTGTCTCTTGTGTGTTTGATTTATTGTTTGATTTTGCTTCCGCTGGTGTGATTGGATTGGAGGCTTTTAGCCCAACAAATGGTATCAAAGCTGTGGTGATCCCCAACAAGTGGTATCAGAGCTGAAGGTTCAAAATGTGAGAAGAGTTAAAGATTCAAGATGTGGAAAGAGCCGATGGTTCGAGACATGAGAATAGTTGACAGTTCGAGATATGGGAAGAGCTTGGTTTAAGACATAGAAATAAATAAGCTTAGAGGAGCTCAATTCAAGAGAAGAGTTCGAGTTTTGAAGATTGAGGATTGGTTTGTATGAAGCATGAAGACACAAGAGAAGAGAGAGATGATGGTGAAACTTTCATTACAAGTGGAGCCAAGCATGTCTAGCATGAAGACAGATGATTGATGAAATTTGAGTCAAGGTGGAGATTGTTGGGAATATTGACTCAAATCCCATAAGAGATTTGTTTGGGATTTGTTAGAGATTTATTTGAGATTTATCAGATATTGCTTGATGGACAAGAAGACTTGCAAAAGAAGAATTCCAAGAGAAAGAAGATTCTTAATAGGTAAGTTTGACTTGCAGGAGAAGAATTCTAAGATGAGAGGGATTCTTAATGGGCAAGTTTGTGTGGTTATAAATAGGTGAAGTCTCTATAGGATTAGACATGAGAAAAAGATGTAAGAGAGTTGTAGGGTTTTATGGGATAGACACCTCATAAGAGTATCGGGGTTCTACGTCTTATGAGTGTGTATGTTTGTTTGTGAGTGGACTAGAGGAGACTGAGAGGGTCCACATAGGTATGATGTATGGGAGCATATGGGTATGTGTTTGGTTATGTTGAAAGAGTGCACAAGAGTTTGGGTTTGTGTTTGTTTGGGTTGAGAATACTTCATAGGACTAGAGGAGATTGAGAGTGTCTTATGAGTATTGATTGTTGAGTGAGGTTGATGATTTGATGTATGTTTGTAATTCTCTACAACTAGTGGATCTTGTTTCTCATCCGTGGATGTAGGTCAGTTGGACCGAACCACGTTAAATTGTTGTCTCTTGTGTGTTTGATTTATTGTTTGATTTTGCTTCCGCTGGTGTGATTGGATTGGAGGCTTTTAGCCCAACAAATGGTATCAAAGCTGTGGTGATCCCCAACAAGTGGTATCAGAGCTGAAGGTTCAAAATGTGAGAAGAGTTAAAGATTCAAGATGTGGAAAGAGCCGATGGTTCGAGACATGAAATAGTTGACAGTTCGAGATATGGGAAGAGCTTGGTTTAAGACATAGAAATAAATAAGCTTAGAGGAGCTCAATTCAAGAGAAGAGTTCGAGTTTTGAAGATTGAGGATTGGTTTGTATGAAGCATGAAGACACAAGAGAAGAGAGAGATGATGGTGAAACTTTCATTACAAGTGGAGCCAAGCATGTCTAGCATGAAGACAGATGATTGATGGAATTTGAGTCAAGGTGGAGATTGTTGGGAATATTGACTCAAATCCCATAAGAGATTTGTTTGGGATTTGTTAGAGATTTATTTGAGATTTGTCAGATATTGCTTGATGGACAAGAAGATTTGCAAAAGAAGAATTCCAAGAGAAAGAAGATTCTTAATAGGTAAGTTTGACTTGCAGGAGAAGAATTCTAAGATGAGAGGGATTCTTAATGGGCAAGTTTGTGTGGTTATAAATAGGTGAAGTCTCTATAGGATTAGACATGAGAAAAAGATGTAAGAGAGTTGTAGGGTTTTATGGGATAGACACCTCATAAGAGTATCGGGGTTCTACGTCTTATGAGTGTGTATGTTTGTTTGTGAGTGGACTAGAGGAGACTGAGAGGGTCCACATAGGTATGATGTATGGGAGCATATGGGTATGTGTTTGGTTATGTTGAAAGAGTGCACAAGAGTTTGGGTTTGTGTTTGTTTGGGTTGAGAATACTCTATAGGACTAGAGGAGATTGAGAGTGTCTTATGAGTATTGATTGTTGAGTGAGGTTGATGATTTGATGTATGTTTGTAATTCTCTACAACTAGTGGATCTTATTTCTCATCCGTGGATGTAGGTCAGTTGGACCGAACCACGTTAAATTGTTGTCTCTTGTGTGTTTGATTTATTGTTTGATTTTGCTTCCGCTGGTGTGATTGGATTGGAGGCTTTTAGCCCAACAAATGGTATCAAAGCTATGGTGATCCCCAACACCTATAACAAATAAGACATGAGGGCCATCAGGAATCATACCTGGAAAGCAAGTTGTTCTACACAAGTTGATGACTCAGTAGCAGCTCGCCAATCAATAGATTTGCTTCTCTTTGCAAAATCAAGACTCTCAAGATAACGTATGTTTGGTAGCTTTTTGCCTCCAGTTATAGAATTTGAACTTCAAAGAAATTCAAAATCATTGTTTAGTTTAAAAAACAAAATATTAACAACACCAACCAGAAAACTTAAAAGAAAACGAGGAAAAATGTAGACCTTGCCTAGCAGCCTTAGAAACAAAAGAGCGAGGTAAAACCTTCCAGTTGAACAATTGACGAGAAACCTTACCACCCCTCCACCAACAATTACTTGGTCCAAAACTAATAAAAGTAAAATATTAACAAAAACAATGATAGCAGATGTGTCAAATAAGTAATTCTAATAATAAAAAAATTAAGAAGGGAAAAAAGCAAACATGATAGTGGAAACGAGATGAAGATGATGGGGAAATTCAGATGAAATGCAAAGAATGAGGGGATTCTTAGACAGTGGAGATGGACAGTGTCTAGGAAAGGATAAACAAAAAATGGGTATTGCAGGATCGGCTTATGGCAAAGCCAAGTGGACGGTTGCTTTTTTTGCTTTATTTTTGGGTTTTCACATATTTTTTGTTTCATTTTCTTTACCATTTTCTTTTTCCTATTTTAATATTGCTTTTCTCCATAGTTTTTATTTGTTTAAAAACACAAATTCTTTTGTAGCATCTCCAACCAAACAAGAAAGATCCAAAAGTACCCATACAACTTTTATAGAATTTTGATTCAAATTATACATAATTGTGTTGAGAAAGGAGAGAGATTCTAATTTTGTTTAAAAAAAGAGTGTCTTATTAGTGGAATATGAGGAAATATTATATGAAATTAGTGTTTCACGTTAATATATTTATCTTTAACTTGAATCATATGGTGTAATTATGTTATTAAAAAATCAATCATTTATTATATATCATATGTGATAATTAAATTAAATGATAAATATTTATTTTAATAAATTCATTAACAATTTTAATAATAAATAATATTTCAATTTAAAATTTTTTTAGTATAATATTTAATTATAAATTTATTAATTAATATAATACTTAAATTTTTTTTAGAATTTATTAACATTTAAAATTAATTAAGTTACAAATTTTATTTATTAATAATTATAGTTTTTAAGAAATTATAGTTTTTGGAAATTTTTATTACAGGAAAGTATTATGAATTAATATTTTTCAAAAAAATTAAGAATTAATTTTTTTTAGAGCTTATACTTATGGTTATTATAACCGTCAATATATAACATACTTATACTGATGAATATTTATATAACGTCAAAAAAAGTTTACCTATGTCGAAGGTTGTACAAAGTGTTGGTATAGATACTCTTTATATCGTCAGAAAAAGTTTACCTATATCGAAGGTTGTACAAAGTGTTGGTATAGACACTATATATATTGATAATAACAAAAATTCATTGGTATAGAGACTTTTTACTTATATTATTTGATCATCAGTATAGGTAAGTGTCAGTATATAGTATATTTAAACTGACAGATAGTTATATATCATCAAAAAAAGTTTATCTATATCGACGATTGTATAAAGTGTTAGTATAAATATGGTATATTTTGACGGTATTAAAAAATTATCAGTATAAATCTCTTTTACTAATATAATTTAACCATTAGTATAATCAAGCGTCTGTATATGAAAAATTTATTATAATGCATTTATACACCTTTGGTTAAAATCAAATAAAAATATTATAAAAAAATAAAAGAAAAAAAGCATTAAAGCAATTGGTTCTTTTGTTCAAAAAATATAATTCGAATTCTCTCATCTCAATATAAATATGAATAAATCATGTCTTAAGTCTAACTTGAATAAGAAAGTTACTCAATTTTACATTTAGTTTTCATGATATTAACTAGTTTGGGCTTCAAGGGCAAATTTTTTTAAATAAACTTTAGTTTATTAAAAAAATTATCTATCAAAAATAACTTTTGAAAACATTGTCTTATTTTACATATTCTATTATATGGAAATGTCAATCTAATTATATTTGGTTATAATGATAATTCTACCAATAATGATAGTTCTAATAAAAAATTAAAATTAAAATTAAATAGTTTAAAAGTGATTATTCATCAAATACATAATTTATATCAAGAACATTTGATAACTATTTTATTTTTAAAAAAATTTATATTCTATTAATAACTAATGTGTATATTATTAATATTCCTCCAATCAACAAATATATTAATGTTTATTTTATCAAATTATTCTTTAGCATCATACTTTTTCATATTTTCTTAATTGACTACATATAAATATATTATACTTGTAACATTGTATAAAATGTATATAAGATTTAAAATCATGTTCACAATATTTATTTAATAAAATTAGTATTAATTAAATTTTTTTCTTCACATTAATTATATTATAGTTGATATGATTTATTATTTATTCTTTAATTTTTGAATAAATCATTATTTCATTTGCTTATATAATCAAAGTTATTAGGAATTTTAAAAAATATCACTTTCAATTTTCCTAAAAATTATATTTTTGAAAAATTTTTAAATAACTCTTTTATCATTTTATTATTTTTTGTTTCTCTTTTTTTTTTCCTTCTCTTTCCTTTAACCATTCCTTCCTTTCTCTATTCTTTACCCCTCCAAAAGAATAAAAATGCCATTTAAGAATAGACTTCACACATTCACTTTTCTATTTCTCTCTACTAATATTAGATCTACATATTCAACTCAAGATCAAAAGATCTTTTAGGCTTATAATGTAAGGTTTGGCTCAAAATAGGAAAAAAGGAATTTTTAGGCTAAAAAACCTTAAGCTTTTTTTTTTTTTTTTAACTTTTTGGACTTTAAACAAATGAGAGCTCTTTTAAAAACTTAACTTGACAGATATTACTTTATTCTTTTTGTATTTTTGGCATTTTACTATTTTTTTAATATAGCAATTTTTGGCTTTATTAAGCTTTGCTTTTTATACTTTTTCTATTTTCTTTTTTTTTTCTTGCACCTGACTTCCTCCTAAATACAAAAATATATCCATAATACACAAGTAAGCATAATAGATTAGGTCAACAAAAGAAAGGATAACAATAATCAAAGAAAAAGGTTATTGGGCTATTATGTCACTAAAATAAACAAAGAAAATGGATAATGTATTAGGCTTAAAGTATAGTACTAGGGATGCATTATCATAGGATGAGGTTGAAAAAGGCTCAAACAGTTTAAAAAACTACCTAGATCATCTCTTGAGTCAAATACAGTCTAGAATTTTGCCTTATCTTATGCAAATCCATATGTTACAATCTTTCACAAAAATCATAGCATTTCATATAAAGAGAATAGAGATGCATGTATAAAAATTATATGCAAAATAAAACATGCTTAAGAATTTTTTTCAAGTTTCACTATATCTATATTTAAACTCCATATCATACTTTAGTCATTTTAAGAGAATATGTGAAATTTTCAATTAAGTGAACATCACTATGAGTATTAGCATGTCAATTTGGTTTGAAAGCAAAAATGCCTTTAAGATTTTAAATTAAATGTTTTCTTTTCTCTCATACTTAAATAGAATCATGTATCAAAAACACAAAGAAAAAAAGAAATACTCCCTAAATTTCCTAAGGCCTAATATCATGAGGCATCTCCGTACTTCTTTTCATCTCTAAAAATAAAAACAACTCAAACAAAACATTAAAAATATTCTTATCCTAATAAAGGATAAAAAAAATTTAAAAATCATAATTATTAAAGTAAAACTTGGGTTGCCTCTCAAGCAATGCTACTTTTGGTCAAACTTAACCATCTTTAAATTTATGCAGAATCATCTTACCTTTTTGGAGGGAGTTTACCTTGTTGTCTCTTTTTTTATGGTATGACATAAACATATTTCATTTGAGGAGGTGGACTAACTCTTCTAGCAAGGATCATGTAAACTAAGCTTGAATTTTTGGAAAGGTTGACATGACTGGAGCAAAGGTTTGCTAAATGATTTAGAAGGTCAAGGGGTTTATCCAATAGGTTACACTTTTCAAGGGTTTCCTTGACTTTGACTGCACTGCTATCTTCTTCATCTCTCAACATATCATACTCTATAGATACAAATTGTAACTTTTTATTTCTAAATCTAAAAGTAAGGCTAGTATCATAAACATCTATTAGGGCTTTGACAGTAAATAGGAAAGGTTTTCCTAATAGAAAAGGTTTTCCTAATAGTAATAGAGTCTCATCATCCTTTCTATCTAAAATAGGAAAATCCACAAAGAAAACATATTTTTCAACTTTCACTAAGACATTCTTCAACATCCCTTGTGGTAACTTAGCAGATTGATTAACAAATTTAATATTGAACTGAAAAGGCTTCAGCTTTCCACAACCTAGTTGCATGAAAACATTTATAGGCATTAGACATATGCTTAAATCAAGATCATAAAGAGCATCAAAGAATTTTTATTTTTTAATTTTGTAAGGTTTAGTAAAACTTTTTGGATTTTTTTACTTTATGGGTAGGAATTATTGAAGTTCAAAAGTATAATATTCTACAAATATGGCTTCTTTTAATTCCTTGAACAACTTATTTTGAATAGGCTTTGGGACAAGTGGTGCTATGTTAAAACACAACCTATACATTCTGGCAGTCATCCTAGACCTTGGTTAAACTTCCTCTTAGACTTTTTTTTTTCTTCAGGATTTTTTTTTAAAGATATTTTTTTGACGTTATCTCTTCTCTTTGGTCATTTTGGACAGGCTTACCTTAGACTATCTTTTTATGTTCAGGCTCAACGTTCTTTAATTGTGCTTTCCCTACTTACAGTAGCATTTGCTCTTTTCAAAAGATCTTTTAGTATGCTCTTATAGATTTTTTTTATAATTTATCTTAACATTATCTTCTTCAGGGTCTTTTTTATAAGTTTCAATATCTTCAGAGACCTTCAATGCCATATGATCAAAACCTTTAAGAATTTTTTTACTAAGTCTTAAAATCTCTTTATTTTTTAAAATATCCTTATTTTCTATGAAACCAATTTCAGGTTGTCTTACAAAATTGGATAGGTTAACTACTATGGGTCCATCATCTTCTTAATCATAATCATCCATCCTAATATCCCATAAAGAATATATTACATTATATCCCTTTTTACCTTGCCTTTTTGGATTGGTTTCAGTTGTATTAGGCAGGGTACCTACTAGCCGATTGGTTATGGCTTGGGCAAGTTGACCTATTTGATTTTCTAGATTTTTTATTGATGTGCCTTGACTTTGTATGTTAGCATTATTAGCTTGCATTAATTGGGTCAACACATCATTTACTATTTTACCTTTTTAGATTGGTTTTAGTTTTACTAGGTAAGGTACCTATTGGTCGATTAGCTATGGCTTAGACAAGTTGACCTATTTGATTTTCTAGGTTTTTGATTGATATGCCTTGACTTTGTATGTTGGCATTGTTTGCTTGCATCAATTAGGTCAACATATCCTCAAAGATGGGTTTCTTTTCTTAGGGTAGGTTATAGTTTAGTAGATTGGAGCA